TAGAAATAAACTGAATTGAATTGAATTAATAATGAGAACTCTGTTAATAACTGGGGATTCTATACTATAACAAATTACGCATCCAAACAAGACTAAATTTATCTTATAAATTTCGTTACGAAAGTGAAAATTACTATTAGAAATCAATCACCATAATTAGATGTGGTAGAAAACAAAAAACAGCCCTGATAAAACAAGAAATGATGTTCAGGAGAACAAACAATTTCATAAACAAACATCTTACTAAGACTGACAACTTATATCGCATTTTAATAATGAACAAGATACACAGAGTTCTTAACTGAGACATGAGAGACCAAGCAACTGAGAAAACGTGTTTATTTACAATAAGTGAATCACAGGAGCACTGGAGGAAGCTGCAGGAGAGGAGATAGGGTGAGTATGGTTTCTTGAAATAGATTGTTCATGTCCAGGAATATGATTAGTCATATTTCTTGCCTCTCCTTTCTTTCATAGAATGGAGGGTTGACAACCAGAGGATTCCAGGGTGACAGAGTGGACCAGGGTGATCAGGTAAGTGGTATATGATTATAGAGAGAATGACAGTAATTGACCTTAAGGCAAGAAGAGAATCCAAAGAAACTCAGGGAGCAAGACTAGGAAACGTCATAAGGTAACCCAGGGAGCAAGGAACAGTGTCTATCTACACTATCCAGTGTCTGAGGAATTAAAAAAATGTTTTTCAATTCAATCTCATTCAATTCATTGACACCCCCACTCGTCCAAACACTAAATGTCCAGGAAGATTGTCTATTTTAGATCTCTTTGTAGAAAATATGCCTCGTAAATTTTCTGGTTTGGGTGTTTTTGCAGACGACATGAGTGATCATTGCATTGTTGGTGCCATTAGGGATACTAAATTGCCTCGCTCCAAATCTAGATTAATTCTAAAAGGGAACATGAAGCATTTTAGTGAACAGGCTTTCCTTTGGGACTTGTTCCATTCAATTTAACCTTTATTTAATCAGGAAAATCCCATTGAGATCACAGATCTGTTTTACAAGGGAGGTCTGGGCCTGAAGGCAGACTAACATGCATGTTTTTGGACTGTGGAGGAAACTGGAGTACCTGGAGAAAATCCACCCAAGCACAAGAAGAACATGCAAACTCCACACAGAAAGACCCCAGGTCCAACAGGGGATTGAACCCAGGACCTTCTTGCTGTGAGACAACAGTGCTAACCACTGATCCAATTATGCAAATGCTAATTATTATGCAAATCATATTATATTACATGTGACAATCTGTTATCTAATTTGCATGTGACATTGTTCTTTTATTTTATTTATTTTTTTTGGCTGCTCTCTTCTTCGGGGTCGACACAGTGAACTAAGTCACACAAAGACGTGGCGATTAATTTTATGCCGGATGTCCTTCCTGAAGCAACCGCAGACCATCGAGCTTCCACAGCCTCTGTGTGGAGCAGAGAGCTGCTATCTAGGGCGCCTGGGGGAGCAGATGGTGGGGGTTAGGGGCCTTGCTCAAGGGCCCAGACTGGGACAAATGAGGTTGGAGACAGGTGTGTGTTTCACATTTCCCACTCACATTTTGATGTTTCCTCAGTTTTCCACAGATTTCCACAGTTTGGGAGAATCTTGCCAGTTGTTGATAAAAGGTGAATAATAGGTAATATATTTTATAACGGGTCACACAACTTTCATTGTTCGTTCCAAGTTAGAGCTATAGAAACCAAACCAGACACATGCTCTCATCTTTGGAGAAGATGAATAAAACACCTGTCGTAGTTTTCACAATTAACTGCAACAAACTGATTTATCCTGTCCACACTGTCAATTCACTGATTAGTTTGAGATCCGTTTTTTGTTTGGCACAAATGAAGTTACAATTTAGTGATCGTTTTTTAATCTTTTATTATTGATTCATAATTATTGGGATTTTTTTTTATATTAAGACTCCCAAAACAAGCAGTTTTATGACTTACTTTCAACTGATGTTGGCTTCAAAACAGTTTTCATTTCACCCTTTAACCATAAAACAAAAGAACTCACTCAAATACAAACGGTTGATAAAACAATTAAAAGGAACTCTGTTAAGAACTGTATTGACGTCCCACAAGAGGACAGTGTTGGACAAGCGAGACGTGGTGGCGTGTCCAGAACTGACTGGGCCAGACTCCAGAGGGTGGGCCACCAAACTGCACACAGCTTGTTCTGAAATGTTCACTCTGTCTTTTTACAACAAACTTTTCAGCGTGACTCAAAAAGTCAGCGTCAGAAACTTGTTACTGTTTTAACCAAATTTCCAAAGTTTATTTCAAGACAACAAGAAAAAGTCCTTTTCGTCTGGCAGAGCAAGGCAAGAGAGTGAAGCGACTTTGATTATCGTGTTGATATTGACGTAGTTTCACGGCTAAAAAGGAAAGTGACGAACGATCAGTGACAGGAAGCTGGTTTATTGTTTTTAGTTAGAGTTGAATGAATGACCTGGCGGCGGCACACCTGCACCTGCAGGCCCTTTGATAAGGAGTCGAATACGGAGCCTCGTAGATTCTGAGGTGTTTCAACTTTTAACACCACGATGTCAAAATGGATGAGTTGGTCCTCCTCTCTTGATTGACATCTGCTTTAATCTGCTTGGAGGAGTGGTGGTGCAGAGGTTAGAGAAGATGGGTCTGTCATCTGAAAGTTGCAGGTTCAACTCCGGGTACTGTCAACATGAAAACATGTGGGTGGAAAAGGTGAAACACACCTGCCTCCACCCTCATTCGCCCCACTCTGGGCCCCTGAACAAGGCCCTTAGCCCCCACCATCTGCTCCCAAAAACAGGTCTCAGCTGAAAATGAGTTCTCATGACTCAATGAGACGACCTGGATGAATAAAGGGTGAATGAAAAATCTACTGGTCCATCCAGAGAACTGGGAAGAGCTTGGTGGGGCAAAGTGGACGTTCTTACATACAGTCATGATGACATCAGACCAAAATTTATCCAACTATCCATCATCCAGCCATCCATCCAACTATCCATCCATCCATGCATTCATTCATTCATCATTCCATCCATCCATCATTCCATCATCCATCCATCCAGCATTCATCCAACATCCATCAACCATCCATCCAACATCCATCCATCCATCATCCTTTTATGCATTCATTCATCCATCCATCATCCAACATCCATCATTCCATCCATCCAACCATCCATCATTCCATCCAACCATCCATCATTCCATCCATCCAACCATCCATCATTCCATCATCCAACCATCCATCATTCTATCCATCCAACCATCCATCATTCCATCCATCCATCATCCAACCATCCATCATTCCATCCATCCAACCATCCATCATTCCATCCAACCATCCATCATTCCATCATCCAACCATCCATCATTCCATCACCCATCCATCCATCCATACATACATCTTCCATCATTCCATCATCCATCCATGCATCCATCATCCATACATACATCTTCCATCATTCCATCATCCATCCATGCATCCATCATCCATCCATCCATCCATCCATCATCTTTACCCACTTTTTTCTTTTCGGGTCACGGGGGTCACTGGTGTCTATCCTCAGCGGTCACAGAGAGAGAGGTGGGGACACCTGGACAGGTCTCCGGTCCATAGCGTAAAAAGATTCAGTCTAAAAATCTAAAGTGAAAATAGTGACTGATGTGCATTATCTGGGCAAAGATCAGGTCTTTAAACTTCTGTTTAAACTTTCTAAACACAAATTCAAACTAATGGCGTGTTTGAGTTTAATTAACGGGGTTTCGTTCTGTGAATGCCAGGTCCAAACTGAGCCGAACAACAACAATGGCTGTTCTGTGGAACCTGTTGTCCCTCGTGGCTCTGCTGGACGGAGCGTCATGAAGGGTTTGGGGCTGATGTCGACATATTTTAGGAGGCAGCTTGTGAAGTGACACAGAGCTTGAGCCGTGCAGCTGTTGCCTGGCACGCTCCGGCCTTGGGGAGAACCGACAGTTTACATCAGTGCCAAGTCTTTTGCTGTGGCTGATGGTGGGGGTCTCCTTCAGTGCGGGGCTGTTTTTATGTATAAATGGGAGAGTGAGAGGGATAGAGAGCAAACA